ATGCATATGACTAACAGAGATTTTATAATTTTTCAATGGAGGAAGCTCGAGCACTCCTTGATCAGCTTATGGGGCGTGACCGTAACGCTACTGCAGCTGCCAAGTCAAAGTCGTCAGAAAACAGGTTAAACTGGCTAACTCAGGATCAGTACTGCCCCTACTATCTGGTGGATTTCTGGTAGCATAGGCTGTCTCCTATGGTTGCTGCTCATGATGGTTGCCTCAGCCCGAATGAGCTCTTCGTGAATACTCGTGCCTATATGGGCAGTTGTGGAAAGGAGCATTGTGAGTACACAAAGTTCCGGTTTGATCAGATGGAGGACGGTAGAGAAAAGAGGGAAATAATTGACAGGTCTGTTGAGGCACGATAAGGGAGGTTATGGAGCTGACTATTCGAGAGTAGGTACGAACGTAAATTACTGAGTTATTGCGAGTACATGGAGACTCAGCTGGCGCAGAAGATCCGCAGAGGTATGTGGCGTATGCAGGATGCTCGTCATCTGTGCTGCTTCAGGAAAGGCTAGGGTAGCAACGGAGATACCGGATATAGAGGTTCCTGCTCAGAATAGAGAGAAGATTGATGAGCTCCGGGTACTATATCTGACTGTTTTGGGTGTCGCGGCTTCTCTCGAACAGCTGTAGTATCTGAAATATATGTATTATCATCATTGTATCGAAAATAGTGATGTAAACTTCGCATTCTGAACCAAATGCTCTGCATAAGGAGGGATTTGTCTAAATGTATAATCAGGAATTTATTCTACCGGTGCGTATCTATGGGTGGTTGTGGCATAGGCGCCCCACTCGTAGAGGATCTGATTCTACCAGCGCATATCTTGGGGTGGTTGTGGCATATGCACCCCACTCGTAGAGGATTTGTCCATACTAGTATGTACCTCTGGGTGACGTAGTCGCTCGACTCGTAAGAATTGATTCTATCAAGGCATATCTTGGGGTGGCATAGCTGCCCCACTCATAGGAATTGATTGTACTGAGGCGTATCTTGGGGTGGCATAGCTGCCCCACTCATAGGAATTGATTGTACTGAGGCGTATCTTGGGGTGGCATAGCTGCCCCACTCATAGGAATTGATTATGCTGAGGCGTATCTTGGGGTGGCATAGTTGCCCCACTCAGAGGAATTGATCATGCTGAGGCGTATCTTGGGGTGGCATAGTTGCCCCACTCAGAGGAATTGATCATGCTGAGGCGTATCTTGGGGTGGCATAGTTGCCCCACTCAGAGGAATTGATCATGCTGAGGCGTATCTTGGGGTGGCATAGCTGCCCCACTCAGAGGAATTGATTGTACTGAGGCGTATCCTGGGGTGGCATAGTTGCCCCGTCCGGACTGATCGGCCTTACTATGGTGTTAGGTTAAAATCAACAGTTTGGTCAAGGAAGCCGAGAGCTTGGCGGAGAGGGGCCGTTTGGTGGATTCTGAGAGGAAAATGTCCCTGGTACATGATGATAGGGATGAAGATAATTTCGTGGCGCGTGACGGTACTTATGTCATTTTAGATCGAGCCATTGAATGACAAGATTCGTGACCTGAGTGGCGAGAAGTACCTTCATATGACGCGTACGGAGTTCGTTTGTGACGTTTGCGGTTGTCTAGTCACTTTGAACGAGAACGACTCTCGGATCACCTTGGAAAATCACGAACATGCACGGTAGGTCGCTTGGGTGGCTTTGATTCGTGATTTGAGTCTAATGCACTGAAGATGGGGATGGCGGGAAGAGAAGCTTTTGCTTCCTCAGTGGTATTGTTGAGGCAGTCATCGTGTTACGGAGAGTCTCAGGCATTTTGACTTGCTGGCTGCTCGTCCTCCACAGTGAGGGGTTTGGATAATCGTACTTCCTCGTTGCGCATATCGATATTGATGGTATAAATAGTACTCTGATTCATTGCAGTGGCAAGCAGCATCAAGGCTGGGCGAAGATAAAGGAAACCAGCAAAGCGTTGAGAGAGAAGTTTGCTTCGGGTAGAGGATTGCCCTTATCCCCATCAACGAGGGAAACGCCACGGGTTGAGAGGACTCCCATTGAACGCAGGTGAGGCTGGCACTTCTACTCTATTAGCTATAGTGTAGCGTTATGTTGGGTTATCCTGTAGATCTCCGCAACGCTCTGAGACCAAGAAGGTTGAAGAGAGCCCGAAGAAGGAAACGAGCAACGGTCCAGAAGCGGATGAACGGAAGAGTGAGGAGTACCAGTCGAAGGTTGAGGATTGGAGGACTCATCTTTCTAAGATGCGTAAGGCGCCGTCTAACTGAGTGGCTCGAGCTAGGCATACAGTGCTGCTTTGAGTCCCGGCCCTGTTGAAATGTCTGTTGCACTCAGCAGTAGCAGATTTGTCCAGTAGTTAACGAAGTGGAGCATATGGGGGGAATAGTCGGATAGGTCGGTGGTTTTCGACTAGCACAGCTCAATTAATTCCGTGAATCAGCACTTCATTAGTGGAAGTAGAGTTCCATCGAGCGCGAGGATCTGCTTCGTCGTGGTTCTTTCCGTTGGAGTCACCACTTCGAGCTTATAGAGAACGTTCCAAGTAGAGCCAAGTTAATCCATGGTTAGGTTCAAAGAAGCCGAAGCATCGACATCATAGAGATAAGGATTGTCACCACCGTCGTCACCGGTCTCGCTCTCGTGATAAGAGGGACCGCAGTGGTAGTCGTGATTGAAGTGAATGATAGTTCTCATTTCTAAATATTTGATTGGAATGTCATCAGATTCGTCTTGAGTTACATCGCAGTTACCTCCACTGTGGTCTGCATTGTGTCTCGGTGAGTGCGCCTCGCAATGCATAGTACAGTTGTAGGGTAGTAGTAGGGCACGTATTGTGGCGTTATTGCTAGTAGTCGCTTTTCCATGCGGGAAAATCTGTCCCATTGGGGTCGTATTTCCTCACCTTATGCGAGCAGAATTCGCGAGGAAGTGATGGAGCCTGGTACGTGATACGTGTTCAGTGAAGCTTGATTCTAAAACTTGATAAGTTCAAACCGTGGAAGCAAACAATGAATGTGACGGCATCATCTCTGAGCAACAATAAGTGACAAAATCCATGGAAGTTACAGTTCAAATTACGTTAAATCTATTCCTGTCTTCGCTGTTTTCATCACTGCCAATCTCGTTCGACTACCCCGTTGCACAATCTTGGAGTTAGCTCAGGCTTCTGCGAGATCCATGAGTTTCCTTACCTTGGGCAGGGGAACGCAGCTCAGTTTGCTTCTAATTCGGCTGCTGCTTATATCAACACGGAAAATACCTATATCTGATACCTCTTTTGGTGCAGGGAAAAGAGGGCATCAGTGGAACCTCAATTTGGGGGAAAATTTTGCCCAATTCACACACTGAGCTTTGACATTGTTCGGCTCATAGCTTGAAGAACTATCAGTTGACTCCAATGCATAGCAAATGTAGAACGTGAACGTAGAACGTATACCTTTCCTCTGACGTTACCAGCTCTGCTGAGACCGTCATGGCCTTACAGAGTCGCCCGGCCGAGCAGCGACCAAGAGTGAGAGAGACCTTTGAATAGCCCTTTACTGTATACCGCTCACGGGTGTTATTCGGAGAAGGATTGTTGATTTATAGACTATAGCTCCCTTTCGAGTTAGTCTTGATAGTTATCGTTGAAAATCATCTTAATGTTGATCAGTTGTTATTCTTCGTCGACTGTGGTTGGTTTCTCCGTCAAAATGGAAGGAACTCGTCAAAATGGTTTTTTCATCGGTCGAAACTCTGCAGGCCTTTGGGAATGCGGTTTGTGCCACGTAGGGTTATTCCTCTTAGTAGAGTGATAAACGGTGGTTTGCCGCTTTTTCTATCAGACAAGCGTCTGTTACGAGGGCATGTTGGAGGACCATATACGGGGCAAGCAACACGCTAAGAACCTCCGAAACCTTTCGTGGGAGAAGTCAGCTGACGAGGGATCTGCTGGTAGGTTCGGGATTCTATTACGCAGTGGTTGTGAATAGTCTTATGGTTGTTGCGCTTATAAATTATTTGAGAAACGAGCGGTTATCATGGACCGACAACTGGGGCTATCGCGACTCTTGAGAACCACAATTCCCTATTTACTACTGCACGATCGAAGGATTCTGCTCGTTTTTACTTGAGAAAAAACGTTACTCTGGTGAATACAGCATATATGCTCAAGAGCACAGACGTCTCGTTAGCTTGCCAAGGGGTTCGGGATTGTTGTTGCCCTTTCAGCTCCTATCCATACCAGTAGTAATATCTCTACCCCATCCATCGGGCCGGCCTCCACTTCTCGTCTCGAGTCAGCTTCACAAGCATTATCTTGGCGTAATGATCCGCAGTATACGGGCTACAGGGAGTTCATGGAGCAGTGTCACCAGCAATTCTATCCTGGTAACTCGATCTCATCTTTTCCGGTGCGGAGATTTCCTGTCATGGAGAAATCCATGATATCAAACTCCTTCAAAGACTTCGAGCATTCGTAGTACGAATTTCATTCAGGATTTGTTTGTCCTTAACAGCCGTCTTATCATCTATTGCTCTTTCTCTTGGTAGATTGTGTGGCGCTCACGTCCTTGTCCGTTATACCGCCGCTTGCTGAGCGTTCAGGGACAGTTTGGGGAGAGGCGCCCGCTATGGATGACGGATGGGATACGGTAAGTTTGTACGTCGATCCAAGGACATGGATGTATTCATGTTTCTGCTATCATTGAGAACAATGCCAAACTATCACAATCGAAAGCGGTCGATCGATTTCGACACTCTTCAAAGTGACGGAGTTCCCGTCGAAGTTGTGCATTGGTCTTCTGCAGTGTATATGGTGTTACTCAGGTCTGCAAGCTCTGTGATGCCCAACTGAGTGATTGGTATCAGTGGGCTCAACACATGCAGGGTCGGAAACATAGGGATAATGTGAAAGCCTCCAGGTGGTCATTCGCCCAATTCTGGCAGCGGTTGACAGCTGGGAAGGTGTGCAGACTTCTGTCAGGCTAGTCCGAGTGGCGTTCATCTCAGTTCCCATACTACTACGAGCATCTTACTGGTATCTGGTGCATCGACCCCCCAATAGATCCATTTCCGGCTTCCGATGTTTACATCGAAACTCTCAGACAGAACACCCATGAGCCCAGCCAAGGTGAGTGGTGGCCCATCTTCATCGTATTGCGAAATCATCTCATCATCTAGATACCGCTGAGGACACGACGGAAGCCCTGGGTCCAAGTCGCGCTGGTTCATGGGAGTAGGATCCCCCTGTTGTGAAATGCAGCTTGCTTTATCAATGATAGGAGTCCCATGATGGGGTTCTGGATAAGTGTGTTGTGACTCACGACGATTTTTCTTATTACTGAGTGAGTTTGAGTTGCATAAGTTCGGTGAGGCTACCGTTAAGCAAGAGGGCTCAGAATATTACTTCCTGTACCATGTAAGCTCTGAATGATCTCTGAACCCGAACGATTACAGAGTAGATATACATCTGTCGTAGTACTGTATACCTTTTGACGAACCATTAGAGAATCAACGTCCAAAACATCAATATTTGTTCATATTAACATCAATATCAACCAAGTTTCTGTCGAATCCAGTGAAGCTCGCTACCTGGAGTGCTCCTAAGACCTAGTAGGTCTGAACTACATCGAAGACATCGGTTAAAGATAATATACTTAACATAAATGCTACTCCAGGTCAAGCCAGTTTGACTTGTGTGACTAGCCTGGGAGCTTGAAGGACTCAGGCTGTCTTTTGTGCCGGCCCCTAGGTATCATGCGCCTGAGATGGAATACTGCAAGTCGCAAGAATGCGAGCACTCGTTGGATCAGCCTCTGATAGACACTGATGGGTGGTGCGTGACAGGTAGGTTCATGCGTACAGAGTGTGATTGTGGGACTCACACATTATGGTGATCATATGAACTGTAGACGATATACATGAAAGCGACGACCCCTGACAATTCTATTATTCCTACCGGCGATAATGAGAATTTGGACAGATAATCTGTCACAGATTGCGGACGCGATAGCTATTCCACTGCTACGCGAGCGGTTGTCAATACAAGGGTAGGTGCATGCATACTTCCACGTCATCCACGATACAGTTCATGAATTGATGTTACACTTTATTCTCACCGGTGCCTTTTGTAAGGGATTGTGGAGCTCAGTGGCCTGCAGAAATTTTGATGGTGTCGAGATCGAGCTTTGAACGGGGAATATCACAACTCGTCAGCGATGAGTCGCCACTTTGTGGTGAGGGACGAGACGTTCCACCGCTTGACCACTTTGATTGACGAATTCATCCTCAACCCGGACTGGAGCTGGAGTTGAAGAGGGAGCGCAAGCACCTCGAAGCCTCTGGCCGGGTTTCAACCTGGTTGATGCGGATTCCACCTACGACTATTGGTCGACTAGAGTTCCGCTGTTTGGTCGTCTACCTTGCTAGGTGGTGAGACGCATCTGCTTGTCTACTATATCGCCGCTCGGTGGGGGTCCGAAGATTTTCCAAGGACAATGCCTGGATGAACTCTGGCGTTCGATAAATCGCGATGATCGTTCAGAACTAAGCATCGGAGTAACGACTACCAATACTTTCTTTTTTCTCAACCACCGACTGAGTTCGGCATTCTCTATCGGGGGAGTTCTCGTTGAGATCGTATGTTCGCCTCCTGTATCATGTAACGTGTTGTGATTCTGCAAACTCTGCGTTTCCCAGCCGAATGATTGGTCTGAGTATACCCATTACATGCCGGGCCCCTCGACATGGAGATGCGCATGCCAAATTCACTCGAACACTCAACAGTGAAAAAACAAGGAAATTGGATATCTTTGATTATATGATACATGCTCTCGGCACCAGGGTCAAGGCCAGTGTCCTGCAACAGCACGATTGGATCGATGTACACAACTGAACAAACGCACCTCAAATGCAGGACCACAGGAATAGGCGCTACTCGAGGAGATTCTACCATCGAGTCCAGCCATTCGAATCTGACAAGACCGACAAAGCTGGATAAGCCTCAAGTTGCATTGCCGTGTTTGGCAGAGCTGTTGAATACGTTAGAAAACTCTCCAGCTTCCAAATGGGGAAGACATCTTACAGGCTCTGGGAATCCCCATATGGTCGCTCCAGCTTCCGCAATACAAGTGTTGGTCATGTCCAGATGCCCAGGCCGGTCACAGGCAGACTCTCTCCCTCTCGGTAGACAATCACGGTCACCGTCATTATCAGTCATGCGAGTCTGACCAATAAATACTCACAGAGAAAGGTTGATGATCACGATGTCTGCCCACCTGTTCTTCGCAACCGAGAGCCTGCATGATTCTGGCCACATACGGCTCATCTACTGCTCCGGCCTCCAGTACCGATCTGATGCCATCACCGATGTGCTTTTGATCGTCTGAATAGTGCATGCTGGTTTTCACTACACATCTTGTTGCAGATATTCAAAATCAGTAAAGTAATATTTTGCTATACGGACCGACCTGGGTTCATGCTTCTGTTAGATCTGCCTCTCCTCAGTGCATTCCTGAGACGAATCAAACTGCTCTGCATGGCTGCGACGGACTTCTTGTTCACAGCTCTTTCGAGAGCTGCAAGTGCCACTGCAGTGCTATGCCTATTTAAAAAGGAGCTTGCTCATCCACTCGGGACAGAATCCTACTGGCGATAGTGACAACCGCTCAGTAGGGCGGTAGCACGTGCAGCTCTCCCGAGATTCTCACATGCAAGCAACCCGGGCTGATAAAGAGAAGATCATCCACCGAGACGACGCGGCACTTTTCCAAATCGAACTGCGTTAAGAGAATTTAAGTAATGCCGGCTGGGACATCTTATATTAATTTTATCCAGGGAAACCTAAGTAGTCCATGGAATAAGTGCAGGTAGAGTCGCAAAAGCTGGGCACAGGCAGTTCTGATCTAACCACTATGACAGCGTGTCCGAGTGGTTAAGGAGGTGGACTAGAAATCCACTGGGCTCTGCCCGCGCAGGTTCGAATCCTGCCGCTGTCGATAATTGTCTGTCTCACCCTCTACTTGCCCTACTTGTGTCAACATAAATCGGAGTAGATCTTCAGAATGATCCACAGCAGTCTGATTCTTCGCGGAGACCACATCTGGGACATCACCAACCTACACACGCAACCATAGGTCGGCATTCGCTTGCCAACATTCTAGTCTCTTCACATTCTATGTGAGGGTACCCACCAGCTTGGCTTGGCCTTTCTCAGTCTTACTCGAATCCTCCAAGACTCTCGTCTCTACTATTTCCCGCTCGGCACGTCGGATCAAATGTTCAGGCAAACGACTCAGCTGTGTGAGACTCTCTGCCCGCACTCTCTGAGACGAGCAAATACATTGAACCATAGCGATCAGACTGCGATCGCAGTCCTTACAGTGTTGCGCTCCTCAAGCGAGAGCATTATGGCGTTTATGAAGGCATCCGCGGCCCCTTCTATATCCCCCGAGGCTATGCTGCACAGACCGTGCCAACGCTCCCTCTTACCATCATATGGCAATTCAGCTATGAGGGACCTGACTGACACACTTCAACCTACTCTCAGTCACTGGCAAGATCAGTGACCTATCTAAGGCGATTCTAGTGCACCAAGGTTGATTCCGGTTGATCACCTCAAGCACTCCCCGAGAGCCTTACCGTGCCCTCCTGAAGTCTTCGTTCGCGATGAGTTGCCATATCACCCTCTCCGCATAAGCCGGGTGATGAGAGGGAAGTTGGCGCCGAGCATCGCCTCTCGCCACATGTCCCCGGCAGTATTGAGTTTGCCGAGCTTTTCCATGTTCAGGTTGTATAACCAAGCAAGTCCTATCGCGCCTATAAGGATCTCCAAAAATAGCAAGATCATCCACTGGACCGAAAGGAATTGTCTACGAGTAACCTATGATCTATACAGGAATAAGTACCACGCGGCCGGTTACCGCATCGCGATGTGTGACTTATCCCGATCGACAAGACTCAGATGTGGTGTTTTCCGACCCACCCAAACAACCTTATAACGCAAATATACACACAATACGCGCATGAGCAGAAACATACGTTCACCATAGTCGTGATTTGTTCTTTTGTGGATCATCCTGTGGACCCTGCATTGGTCGATTCTCCGGCTCTTTCGGTTTTCTCTTTCTAATCTCCGTCACGACTCTCGTCAACTGCTTCAACATCTCCTTCACATTCTCGTTAGATGGACCCCATAGATGTGCCGATAAATTGACACCTTTCTCCATCTGGAAACCAAACCACCGTTATATCATACACCCAGTCTTGCACGCAACGAGTGACAGAACCACTTACGCTACCCCGAACACCAAACAGTTGAGAAAGAGAATCTCCTACACGTTGTATCCTCATTACGCAGACTTCCGAGGAGATCAATTTCCCCCTTACCGCATCCGCAGCTCCCTCAAGCTTCCCCAGTTTCTCATAGGCCAGGCCTATATTAAAATACGTCATCGCAACAAACCTGTTCTCTTCCTTCCCCCCAGTGTGAGTGAGAAGAATCTGCAGAGCCTCGGAATACAACTCAACAGCCCGCGCATAAGAACCTGACAACCATGCCATCTTACTCCTCCTAGGCCGGCTCATCTATACCTTGCACGTGCAGCATTCCAGCAGCGTTATTGAGGCATTCAGCTACCGAGAGGTGCTTTGCACCCACACAGCTTTTCCTCAACTCCAGGGCACGATTGCATATAGCCAAAGCCTCGGGTATACCTCAATGAATGCTTCGATATTTTCATGGCGCGCGGTAATCCACACACACGTCACGACTTCAACTCGGGATAGGTTATTACCATCATCACCATCCCGTTCCCGGATAGCAACACTAAGACAACTACATGCCGATGCCAGCTGATACCTCAGCGCTTTGATCCGCTCAGTGTTCTCTGCAGATGTATCGCTGATCAGTCTGAACAGCCAGCAACGTTTTTACTCACGACCTTGTGAGCTTTCGGTGGTCGAAACTGATCTTGAGTTTGACGAATTCGAACTTGTATTCAGGAGTTCATAGATATCATTTACGAATTCGAAGTTTCATTTCCATGTCGAATTTGGACGTTCATACCGTGAAAACCTTTCCCCTCCCTACGAGAACTACATCGAAGTTTTTTAATTTGCTGAATTTGAGATTGAAAAAGTGTGAATAGAATTTCGGCTACACAAGAGAAAGTGCAACAGCATGAACAGGTAGTGAAGCCAGAAAATATAAGTTACCTTTCAAGAACTGCACAAGCTTCCTTATAGGCCTCCACAGCTCTATGCAATTTGTCAGCCCTGTGATAGTGCATCCCCAGATCACGATGCAGCTTGGCCTACATCATGCAACAGTGTTGGAGTATAAGTTTGTTTTCCGCGGCTAAGACCATGAGTTGCCGCGGTAATTTTACAAGTTGACACTCTCGTCAGCCGAAACTATACAGAAACCAATGAGAATTTCCAAAGTTTCCTGAGAATGTTCATATTCTCACCAACAAACATGGTTTCCTTCATTACGACAAGCATAACTCAACATGAGAACCGTATGAGCCTCCTGAAGGTACCACTGCTTCTGTGGAGTTGTCGCTCCCTGCAGCCTCAATAGCGCTCTCAAGATAGGCGATAGCTTGGGCCAGCCTGATCGGGTCGTCGCCTATACCGTCGAACTTACCTATCACCACGATAGACAGCCATAATGCTTTCTGCAACTATGCGGGAACAAGTAGAAATAGAAGTTCATAGATTGAATCCCTCATATTCAACGACACCATAGTAAACAGTAGTGAGGTCCTCCTCTCCTACTACCAAGACCTATATAGCTGTTCCCCACAGTTTTCAATGTCGCCGTGGAAGCCGGCGCACGCTCCTGGCCAGGGACTATCGTAGTTGAAGAATCGAGATGATGGGGACGACCTACAACGAATTCCTCCGTTGAGAATTCCCCACAGAAATTCACTGACAGCTGTTTAGGTCGAGGGCAGGGTAACTGCATATCTCTCCAAAAGGGGTCGAGTCCGATGTGAATACTCGAAAAAAATAATAATAGTTTTTAATATAGTTTTTAATAATTTAGTCTATTATAGTTTTTAATAATAGAAATATAATATGTTTTAGTGATAATACACGCTTCACAACATCACCTGTGTTTTGGGGTGCTCCCCCAGTAGATGCACAGAATGCTCGAGCCGCAATAGTGTATGTTAGCGGTCGCAGCATCACTCGGCTGATCGACGACATGACACTGCACGACAATAGCAAGAGGAGAAATGATTGATCCAACACAACTGCTGCTCTCGAGGACTAAGAGCAGGCATCGAGGATCACTCTTAGACCACCTCCTGTTCAACACTGACCGAGCCAACAAGCGTGAAAGACCGCTCTTGAAGACGACTAACCTCATCATCTTCGGTCTCGCCCATCCGACACACGCATATACTGTGGCGTTCATCGCCTAGTGTAAAGAGTTCCCCACATATATGACTAACTCAACTTTCGAACAGCTATGGAGTATTTGTTATTATATCCGGAGAAACGTCATACAAATGCAACAGGAGCAGCACTTTACTCTTCCTTCTTGCCCTCTTCCTTCTTGTCCTCTGCCTGCTTTTCCTCCTTCTTATCGGCCTTCTCGCCAGAGATGATCTCAGCGTTCTCTTGCTTAGCCTGATCGCCACCAATAGCCACACTCAAAACTAGCCGAGCATACCTCGTTAAAAGCCTTCTCGAAAGCCTTGGCCAGGTCAGGGTTACCGAATTTCAAAGCGAACTGCTCGGTGCGTTGTTCGCCCTCAGCATAATCACTGGCCATCCACACCCAGCACTTCTCTGACCTACAGAAGACATTCTCCCTACTATTCAACTAGCAACGCCATCCTACCCAGCGTTAGGCTTGAGGCTGCAGTAAGGACCATTCTCGACAACGTAATGATTGGCGATAATCTTGAGAGTCTTCTCCTGACGCATAAGAGCGCGTACCTACATTGAAATCGAAGCTGAAACAACCATTCTGAATACATACCCTTCCGCTCTTCTTCTCTCTCAATAGACGCATCTCGCCAGTACCACGCTCCTTCCACTCTCCAGAGCCCTCATCCTTAGATATCCACCTGATAAAACACAGAGTTGCCAAGACGAAGAAGAACAACGCCCTACCTGTAAAGCTTGCTCCTCTGACGATACAACTCCTGTTCGTCTTCCTCACCAGTTTCGATCTTATCGCTCACTTCAAGTGAGACGGAAGGAGCCCATCCGTCGACCTCGGTGACCTACGATGAATAACACACGGTCAAGATCAGATCTCAGCGAGGAGGAAGACCCCTCACCTCTTCTTCGTCGACCTTCTCGATCACTTGGGCCTTCTCAGCAGTCGCAGTAGCCTCAGCAGTCTTCTCAAATTCAGTCGTTGCCATTGCTAGAGATGTAGGAGCAGCTGATCACATGTAGACCTCATTCGTATCTTCCAA